GGGGTGGGGGGTGGGAAGGAAGCAAGTGCTCCCAGGAGCGTTCACGTTGGAAAACTTTGAGTTTGGATTTTTTTTTCCTTCCCTCTACCTCACTTTTCTTGTCCTTGGAGGGTGTAAAGCAGGGAAAGTCCTCCAACCAAAGCCCACCGTGAAGGGACACGCCTGGCCTGGCCCGCGTCCTCGCCCCCGGCGCGCGCAGCGGGGACCACTAGATGGCGGCCGCGACTCGCGCCAGCTCTCACTCACCGCCTGGTCTGCTTTGACTTCACAGTTCGAATTTTTGAGATCTGGACGGCCACTGAGATCAACCCTTTTCCTTCCTCCCTAACCTTCCCCCTCGGTGTTTTAATTCCAGATTTGAATTTTTGGCGGGGAGGAGGAAGTGATGCACTCAAGTATCTACCGAGACCCAACCACTGGACAAGGTTCTTTGCGCAACCCAACGAAACATAAAACCGTCTTCCCAGCCTCGATCAGAGAGGGGGCAGGAGAAAGAGAAGCCAGAGGAGGGACTGGGACTGTCCAAGAAATAGGAGACAACCAGGACAGAAAGGGAGACCAGAGCCAGGGGAGGGAGGGTTTCCAAAGAGGAGGACGTAGGAAATCTGTAGAGAAGCCGACTGAGAGAAGTGAGATGCGGTGGCGCCTTGGAGCGCGGGATGCGCCGGGTGTGCGCGCTGCTGGGGCCTCTGGGGAGCCGCGCGGCGGGGATGGAGGAGTGCTCGGAGCCCGGGGCTGCAACTGGGTAGAGAAAGATGGGGACCAGGGAGGTCTTTGGGTCCAGGAAGGTTTCCTGGAGGCTCGGGTCTAGAGCCTGCTTGAAGAAAAATTAGCCACCTTGAAGACACTGGGAAATACACAAGGCAAGTTCCCAGCATAGGGTAGTAAGTAAGAAGAGGCGCACGGGTAGAGTTAACCTTGGGCCGATTTGGAGACCAGGGACCCTAACCCAGCTCCTAACCCAGCAAGAGCTGGGGCCTCATGGAGACCAGGGACCCCCATCTTAAACTTGCATGTACCCCCAGAGCGTTTATCTCAGCTGCCCGCAGGCATTTGATAGGAATTGCTTGAGTAAATGAATTCGTGAAAGAATGATGCTACAGCGCTGGGAAGACGCTGAGTCAACTTTTTGTCCGTCGTGATTTCTGGGTCTCTATATATTTTTTCTGTTGTACAGTGTCTGCCAGGAACTACCAGTTTGATAGCATCGTAGCACTAGACTACAATCTGAGTTAGCTTAAGGCTTTTCATTTTTTGGTCTCTATTTTCACCTTAGGTTTTTTTTTGCTGTCGTTTTTATTTTCCCTAGGTGCCAGTGCCCAACTCATTCTCATACTTACTCCCAAGGTAATACTTCTGTATTTTTAAACTAGCCACAATTTTGGTTTCTGCATTTAACATTATAATACATTTGGGTAGTGTATGTAAAGAAAACCAAGGCATGTGAGAGCAAGGTCCATGAAAACAGTTACCATTTCACTGTGAAATTGATAACATGTAACTCTATACAAAGTTAGCTGAATGTATACTACTAATCACGTGTTTGTCTCAAATATGTATTTAATGCTACTTATAACACTTTTCTCTTTTAATTACTTGCCAAGTCTAAAAATGCAGATAGGATTTTAAGAATGTCTGAGTTGGTCAAACAGAATTAGTCAAGATGAAGCCTTTGGAAGGTTCTAAAACATCTCTAAAAACTGGAGGTTAAAGAACAAGGTGGTTCCTAGAAAGAAAAACAAAACTTGTTTGTATCAATCTTTAAAATAATATTGTATTTAAAATAATATTGTATTTCCTAATATTTAAAAATAATAACAAAGTTTCAGTTACCACAACATCTTAATCATTACCAAAGCCAAACACTGTGGTCCACAGAGCAGCAGGAAACTCAACATAGTTTCAGCATGTCCTTAGAATGTCACATGGATTACTGACACAACCACTGATTTTGTGTCTTCTAAGGTCAGATCTAAACATTAAGGCAAGAGTTGGAAAGGAAAGAGGCTGACCATCCAGGATCCTAAGCAGAAACCCACAGAGAAGCCGGTTGGGGAGTTAGAACAGAGAGAGTAACCGACCAAGGGCTTTCTCTTGCCCAAGGAGTGACTTACCCTTCAGGACAAGCCAAGGGACCTCCCTGTCCATCATTAACCACCATCTATGAGGCAGAAACATGTCCAGCTTTTAAGGCCCTTCTGAACATATACAGAATTTTGTCTTCAGCTGATTTTCTCGAATTTTTAGTTGGTTTCAACAATTAGTTAATTTCCTATTTGAGGGATTAAAATTAATAATTTACAGAAAGATATTCTCATTATTTCCTAGGGTCATATTTACGTCTTTATCTAAAATTTAGTAACAGGAATAATAGATTTTTATATACACAGAGAGAGACAGGGTCACCCTCTGTCACCCAGGCTGGAGTACAGTGGTACAGTCATAGCTCACTGTACCCTCAAACTCCTGGGCTCAAGCAAACCTATCACCTCGGCCTCCCACAATGTTGGGATTATAGACTTGAGCTCCTGTACCTGGACAGATTTTTTTTTTTTTAAGCCTAGAGGAATCAAATAAATGTGAGTTTTGGTTAAGGGTGCCTTTGCACCCAGGGAGCTGAAGGTAGATTGTTGTCTAGTTCTGATCTATTTTCCTTAAAAAAGAAAAAGCATAGTGAAAATTGTTCTGTAGACTTTATCTTATGACTGACCAGTATTGATATAAATAAGTAGATAAAAACAAGGATAAAAATCTTTAATTAGGTCCCTTTCATTGTTCCAATATGACAGAAAATCATTTTTACCATAATTAAAACCTAATCCTTTGCAAAGAAATAGCACCTTATAAAAATGTTTGTTAGGCCGGGCACAGTGGCTCATGCCTGTAATCCTAGGACTTTGGGAGGCTGAGGCGGGTGGATAACAAGGTCAGCATGGTGAAACCTTGTCTCTACTAAAAATACAAAAATAAGCTGGGCATGATGGTGCGCGCCTGTAGTCCCAGCTACTAGGGAGGCTGAGGCAGAAGAATCCCTTGAACCTGGGAGGCAGAGGTTGCAGTGAGCTGAGATCCTGCCACTGCACTCCAGCCTGGGTGACGGAGCGAAACTCCATCTCAAAAAAAAAGAGTTTGAACCTGGGAAGTGGAGGTTGCAGTGAGCCGAGATCCTGCCACTGCACTCTAGCCTGGGTGACAGAACGAAACTCCATCTCAAAAAAAAAAAAGTTTATTAAATTTCACCAAGATAAATACGTTTTTTATATGCATAAGCTTGAGAAATGTAGATATCTTACTGTGGTAAGTTATCCCTATGAATTAAAAAAATTAATTCAAACAAGTTATCACAGTTGCTATAAGAAGTGTAAGCAAGTCTCTAATTCATGAACTTTCTAGTAGTTGTTTTCTAATAGTAACCCAACTCTAGACTAGGGGATTTTTTTTCTAGAGGATTGTTACACATTATATTTTCAAACACATATTTTAATTATAATGGAGGAAATGTTTTATTATTTTAACAAATTTAGCCTCAAGTTAGCATTACATTCTTTTTTTTTTGAGAGCGGGTCTCACTTTGTTGCCCAGACTGGAGTGCAGTGGCATGATCTCGGCTCACTGCAACCTCTGCCTCTTGGTTTCAAGCTATTCTCCTGCCTCAGCCTCCCGAGCAGCTGGGACTACAGGCGCCCGCCACCACGCCTGGCTAATTTTTTTGCATTTTCAGTAGAGGCGGGGTTTCACCATGTTAGCCAGGATGGTCGTGATCTCCTGACCTGGTAATCTGCCAGCCTCGGCCTCCCAAAGTGCTGAGATTACAGGCGTGAGCCACCGCGCCCGGCCACATTACATTCTATCTTAAAATGCAGGTATTGATTTTAATTTGATGTGCAACAGTGAAACCTGAAAACAATATATTTTCGGTAAGACTTCAAAGGAAATACTTATGTTCACTGCTGGATTTTACTATCAAATAACAATATTTATGCTTTATTTTAAAGACTCACTTTGATGCTAAATTTTACATTTCTAGCCCCTGGACTTTCACCTTCTGGGAAAACAACAGATTATGCCTTTGAGGTATATTCACTCAATCCATTATTTCTTTTATGAATGACCAGAAAAAATAAAACTAGAATATTTTGCTAATGAATTATTTTATTTTAAATCTACTATTAATTCATGTTCCATAATCTCTATTTGATCGGACCATATTTAGCAAAGTACCTGGCTAGTATAATGGAATATAAACCTTCTGAGATCATGGCTAATGTCTAGAGTGCTGTCTTTGTACAGTCACTAAAATAGGATAAATTCCCAGCTCTACAAATTCTGCTATATATATGTTATATGTTAAACCTTTAGTTTTGTAATGATAACAATCCCAAAAGAGGTCAAAGTGAAGTAACAATTCAGGTGCATTTTTGTCACACTGTAATTACATAACTACTTATAATTATTTGTTTAAGTCCCTGTCTCCTCCTAGTCCAGGATTTTTTTTTCTTTTTTTTTTTTTTTTGAGACAGTCTCGCTCTGTCACCCAGGAGTGCAGTGGTGTGATCTCAGCTCACTACAACCTCCGCCTCCTGGGTTCAAGCGATTCTCCTGCCTCAGGCTCCTGACTAGCTGGGATTACAGGTGCACACCACCATGCCCAGCTAATTTTTGTATTTTTAGTAGAGACAGGGTTTTGCCATGTTGGCCAGGCTGGTCTCCAACTCCTGACCTCAGGTGATCCGACCACCTCAGCCTCTCAAGGTGCCAGGATTACAGATGTGAGCCACTGCGCTCGGCTTCAGGAATTACTAATTAAAATGTCACCGGGGGCCCGATGGTTAACCTACAGATGACCAGGCTGGGTGATACCATGCCGAGCTCACTGAAGACACAGGCCCCATCTAAGGTGTGACTCCACTCAACCTCATAAGATCACTGCCATATGGGAATGCATTCCCAGTTTGCTGTATTATTCAAGAGAAAGTGAAATTCAGATAGTCCTATTAAGTTTTTTTATTCTAATTTTTAAGAGTTATTAGTCAATTCAAAAAAAAAAGAAATTTAAACATAACACAGATCAAACAAAACATATTTCAGGCCAAACATGACCCATCGTCCATCAGTGTAAAAGCCTTTCTCTCATCTGTAAACTTTATGAGGCCATGTGTCTCTTATTCATCGTTGAGTTACCAGAGCCTACACAGTGCCTGGAATATAGAAGACAGTAGCGTTGGCTGGGTGGCAGGTATGCAAGGGTGGGTGGATGAACAGAAAGTACGACATTTGAGAGTTATTTTACGGGTGGAGATAGAGGAAGGCAGGCATTTGAAGCTAAGGGAACAATTGAGAGTTTATGATGTGTTTGGGAAAAGACAAGTCATTCAAATGTGACAGGAGCTGAGGTTTGCTGAAGGAAGTGTGTTGCATTCACACTTCTTTAAGTGAGACCAGACGGAAGATGACCTGGAAGACCATGCTAAGGAGTGTATACTCTATGCTCTAGGCAACAGGAAAGCATTTCAGGTTTTTAGAAATGGATTGGTCAACTCTCAAATACTCCCTACATCTATACCTTTTTATTTTTTTCAGATGGCTGTTTCCAATATTAGATATGGGGCAGGAGTTACAAACGAAGTGGGAATGGCAAGTATTCGAGATGTCTACAGTCTCCTACTGTAAATGTTACATATCTCATAAGACACATGCTAACTGACAACAATCACGTCCTCTATTTTTAAAAATGTACAATGTGAGTTTGCCAGAAGAGTCTATTGCAGTTCTAGTGCAGTTGAACCTAACATAGGTTTTCTTGTAGGACCTACAAAACATGGGTGCTAAAAATGTGTGCTTGATGACAGACAAGAACCTTTCCCAGCTCCCTCCTGTGCAAGTAGCTATGGATTCCCTAGTGAAGAATGGCATCCCCTTTACGGTTTATGATAATGTGAGAGTGGAACCAACGGATGCAAGGTATTCTTGTATTGTTGTTATTGTTTCTTTAAGCAGAAGCTAACTGTTGATTAAAACTTGCCCCCAGCCTGGCACAGTGGCTCACGCCTGTAACCCCAAAACTTTGGGAGGCTAAAGCGGGCAGTTTGCTTGAGGTCGGGAGTTAAAGACAAGTCTGGCCAACATGGTGAAACCCTGTCTCTACTAAAAATACAAAAATTAGCCAGGCATGGTGACAGGCACCTGTAATTCCAGCTACTCGGGAAGCTGAGGTGGAAGAATCACTTCAATGCAGGAGGCATAGGTTGCAGTGAGTCAAGATTGTGCTACTGCACTGCAACCTGGGCGACAGAGTGAGACTCTCAAAAAAAAAAAAAAAAAAAAAAAAAAAAAAAACCCACAAAACTTACCCCAAGCCTTAGTTAATGGCATGGCAATTTATTTCTGAAAAATATAACATCATGATTTTTATTTTCCCTTCTCCAAGCTTCATGGAAGCTATTGAGTTTGCCCAAAAGGGAGCTTTTGATGCCTATGTTGCTGTCGGTGGCGGCTCTACCATGGACACCTGTAAGGCTGCTAATCTGTATGCATCCAGCCCTCATTCTGATTTCCTAGATTATGTCAATGCCCCCATTGGCAAGGGAAAGCCTGTGTCTGTGCCTCTTAAGCCTCTGATTGCAGGTAAAGACTGTTTATTTCTTTGTTTTATTTTGCAGTTAGCAAAAGGTCTTAAGAAAGATGCAAGCCAGTCCTTTTAACATATACATTTCTAAAGTTTTCTGGTTTGTTCATTTCAAATCAATGCCTTGTTTGGAGACCAATCATTCATTTTAAAATTCTGATCTTTGTTATTCTATAGATAAAGACAATTTGGGTCAGTGGAAGGAAAGTTTGCAGATTTAAGCTATGGGGTCACCATGTGGAAAAGGGGGAAGGTCATCACTGACATATGATGAGATCCCTCTGTTAGCAGCTTTGTCCTCTAAACTGCTCTCTGTTTTGTTCTGTTTTGCCAGCCACTGTAGAGTTTAAGGAGAACATTAGCTGTTATTTTTCTGGTGTTGACTCAACCCTTTCTTCTACATAATGGCTCTTCAGCTGACCTCAGGCTTTGTCTCTTCCCTGGGACATGTGGCCAGCATGGCCCATCACTCTGGGTGACATCTGCTCTGTGGCTACCCAGGGCACAGACATACAAATCCAAATCAGAATAGCTCATTTGTTCCGCAGGGGACCTTGAGATTTTCTGGTCTTTTCTTCTCTGCCATTTTTATGGCTGCTAGCATATTACTATTTAAAGTTTTATAGCTAACATGCACTAACTGGTAACTGGGACATATCCTCAGTTTAAAGTTTTGCCCTTTCTTCTCCCCTCTCCTGCCCATTGTGAAGAGGCCTTGTGATGGGATGTGAGTAAGTCGATGGCAGATGAACTGCTGTGTTGTGAATGAGGGATCAGCAGGGAGCAGCATAATTGGTGTCTGGCAAATGGAACCCTCTGGTGAAACTGTGTCAGCATCACACAGAGGGGTGATTAGTAAAGTTTAGAAACTTGACAGAACCACAAAACCACGGAGCCCAGCAAAGGCAGAGCGTCACTGTGCTTGCTGCCAAGAGGGAATAAAGATGTCTTTTAGGGAGAGCAAATATGAGTTTTGTTACCAGAGGTGCCGGGCAGCCTGCATTGACCCAGCTGCAGCTGCTTAAGCTCTGGCCCCCAAGGAGCCTGAAGTTCCCAGAGCTCACTGCTATTAATACACCACAGTTGTCACACATGTGCATGATTAACATACATATATGTTAACAAAGACACAGAAATCATACGTGCATGTTAACACAGATACAGAGATCACATACATATTAAACACACATATATGTTAGTACAGACACCATACATATTGACACTCATATTTATGCAGAAGCAGGCAATATGCATATTAAACATGACTATGTTCATGCAGACACAGACATGCATATTAAACACACATGCATGCTAAACATGCATGTATGTTAATGCAGACATGGACATCATACATGCATGCTAACACAGATACAGAGGTCACACATACATATTAAATATACATACATATTAATATAGACACAGATATTATGCATATTAAACAACATAAACATTCATCCAGCAGTCATGATACATGTCAAACATACAAGTGCATTAATGCAGGCACAGACATCAATGTACGTGCTAAACATACATGCATGCCAATATAGATACAGACCTCATGCATGCCTGTTAATGCAGATACAGACATCATACACACTGGACTTACATGCATGATAACACAGACACTGACATCCTACATGTTAGATTTACATACATGTTAATTCAGACATAGACATCATACATGTCAGGCTTCCATATGTATATGTTAATTCATATACATCATGCAGACAAGAGGGTCAGCAAAGTTTCCTTCTCTAATTTTGTTCCTCAGTCCTAAGGCTGAATTAGGTATCTCCACTAACCTTTATTTAGATGCTTTATTAAAATTAATATTATTTTGTTCAAGTGCCAACTACCTCAGGAACCGGGAGTGAAACTACTGGGGTTGCCATTTTTGACTATGAACACTTGAAAGTAAAAACTGGTAAGAACTTTGCCCATAATTTTGAATTATCTCTCTTACCTTTCAACTCCACACTCTTCTTTAAATCCTAATATTTAAAAATCAAGCAGTTATGATACAGTTAGAATAAGCCCCAATGTTCTATAGCAGAGTAAGGTGATGATAGTCAGCAACAATGTGTTGTATATTTCAGAGTAGCTAGAAGAGAGGACTTGAAATGTTCCCCAAAAGTACTCAGAGTGATGGATATCCCACATAACCTGACTTGATCATCACACATTCTATGTATGTAACCAATACTCACATGTACCCTATAAATATGTTAAATATTTTCTATCAAGTTTAAAAAGAAAGGAAAAAAATCAAGGAGTCAAGGAAAGGGTATGTATATATACACATTTTCTTTCCTTTTCCAAGTACATATAAAAATATGAAACAATGTAATAAACTTCTTTTTGAGAATTACCACTGAAAGCATATTGAAATGCCATGAATCTTAATTGGCTATTCTCTGCCCAAGTTAGTGACTGTATATCAATGATAAATGACTGTTTCCTTTCTCTGATGTATTTTTTCCATTTTAAATCAACTTTATTGAGATGTGATTTTTGTATAATAAAATGCACACATTTTAAGACTCTGGTTTGATGAGCCTTGACAAACATATATGTTCATGTAACCACCGCCCCAATCAAGATACAAAACATTCCCATCACTCCAGAAAGTTTCCTCATGCTGCGTCCCAGCAATCCCTCCAGTCCTTTTTCCAGGTAACCTCTGTTCTGCTTTCTGTCTTCTTAGTCATTTTTATGCTGTCTTCTCTGTCGTGGACTCTTGGATAATGTGGTAGAAATGTCTCTCTTTTTAGTCTGGCTCAATATCCTACTTTCAGATCTTTGTAGCAGAATAAATTGACATTTAACTGCACATTTTTAGTAACTTTTCTTTTTAAAATTAAATTGCACTATCCTTTGACATTTCTTACGTTGACGATAATAATGGCCAACACTTACATTCTACCTCACAGTTTCTAAAGACTTTTACCTAATATTCTCCATTTGATCCCTACGACAGCTCAATGAGAGCTGGAGGCCCTGTGCTATTATAGTCTAATCTTATAGAGAACTCAGAGAGGCTAAGTGACTTGCCCAAAGACACAAAGTAAGTTGCAGAGAGAGGACCAGTGGTGTACTAGTAAACTGGCTCTCTGGAATTTAATAATAAACAAGTAAGCCCTGACTTGTAGTGTTGGCCCATTTCTGTGGTGTAAATACTCTCACCATGGCCAATGACATCACTCATCCAAGAGTTGGAAAGAGATGCATACACATGGCCCTTGGAAACCAGGAGGAGCCAGCTCCAGCACACCACTGAAAACCCCAGGCTTCTGACTCTAAATCACTTTCTGCTGCTCCTTGCTGCTTCACTACATGAAAATGAACCTTTTCTCATATTTTTATTTTTAGGGTGATTTATTATCCTGAAGTCATTTGCCTTCTTAAAATGATGCCCATGGCTTCAGCCTCTACTGAAAATCCTTATATTTTAGGCATCGCTTCGAGAGCCATCAAACCCACACTGGGACTGATTGATCCTCTGCACACCCTCCACATGCCTGCCCGAGTGGTCGCCAACAGTGGCTTTGATGTGCTTTGGTAAGTGCTGGTGCTGCCTGGAGGGGCTTTTTTAGTACTGGGTCTATGGATAGTATTTTGTTGCTCAAAGCACATGCTAAGTATTCATTGATTAGCACCCCACAACACCCCTAGCTTTGGCTGTCATTACCACCTGCCCTAAATCAAAACATTCAAGCTTTAGAGGTTGGTGACTAGGTGACATCTGGTGTGGGCCACAAACCTGCTCTTCAGGATGGACCCCCCCTAGCCACAACCAGGGCCATAGGGATGCCACTAAGGGGGCAGTTGGAGCTGGTGTGCAGTGTCTCAGGGACACACCAGCTACCTTTATGGCCTCACTAACTAGGCAATGCCCAAGGCTTCATGTCATGGAAGAGGGCAGGGAACATAGCTAACACCTCCAGAGCACCCCCAGACCATGTACATTGTGTCAGCACCTCACATACATCGCCACTTCACTGCAGCTCTGTGTGATACGGGACCTTTGTTTTATTGAACAAGAAAACTGGGTTTGAGATGTTTAGTGACTTGCCCATAGTCTTACTGTATGTTCCCTCGGCTTCAGCTGCATTGTGCCGATGGCCCCCTAATCAGTATTTCTATCACAGACCTTGCTCCTGAGCTCCAGGCCTCATAAAGTCCCCACAGGCACTTCACATTCAGCATGTGCCAAATGACTCTCGTTCATCTATGTGCATGTGCACATTTTTTTCACATTTTAACACCTCCGAAATCAGGACATATCTTAAAATGTGTGGCGTCACAGTATGTTTTCATCCTCAGTGGTACGTATTTTAAAAACAGTGCAGGCTGGGCACAGTGGCTCACTCCTGTATTCCCAGCACTTTGGGAGGCCAAGGTAGGAGGATCACTTGAGGCCAGGAGTTTGAGACCAACCTGGGCAACAAAGTGACACCTCGTCTCCACAAAAAAAGTTTTTTACAAATTAGTCGAGCATGGTGGCACATGCCTGCACATCCCTGTACAGTGACTGTCACATCCTAAGTACTTGTATACTGCTTGTCACACAAGCAGGAGGTGACAGAGTCAGAACTCACATCCAGGTCCCTCAGGGCCACGTTCTGCTTCCCTCACTATGTTATGCTGCCTGCCAAGAGACTGTAGAAAATTGTGTCTAACTCCATTCTGGTCAATGTTGTCAGAACTTTGATGAGCTGTCCCCTAATAACCTGGAAATGAGGGGAATGAGATTATCCTTCCTAACTGTAAAGTGCATAATAAATACATCGTGACCCAAAGCAGTCACCCTTAAGTGGGTAACTCACAGGCCCAAAGACTTCACTGTCAATCAAAGTCGGGAGTGGGCTCAGAAGGCAGGAGAATAATGGCAGTTGCTCTTTCAAGTACT